GTGATTGGGGGAGGCTTTTGCCTGAAATCATTCTTTTAATATATATGCCAATATCCTCCCCTCAAATTTCTGATATTTGTTGTGTCTATACCTCCTCTATTGTCTTGAGTTGATGTAAGGGGGCAATATAATTTGTTGACTTATATATATTTTTGAAATTTTTCTCATTTTTTTGTTTTTCTGCATCCTTTTTTTACTATATATATAATATTGAAAATTTTGTTTTTTGTGTGTTTTGAGAAAAATATTGTATAATGGATATATGTATCAAAATGGGTGGGTTGAGGTGGGTAAGCGTCAAAGTGGGTTTTAACCCACTACTTAATCAAGACGTAAATTTTTCAGGGTAATAATAATTAAGCACGTGCTTTTGCATGTGAAAAAGTTTTTTTTTATATTAATTACTTGAATTTTATATATATCATAGTTAAGATAGAAATTAAAAATTTACAAAAGTAACAGTATGATTAAAAATAAACTTAAATGTTTGTAGTAAATTTGCATGTGCATTGCATGTGAAAATTTTAAATTATAATAACAAATTATTTTTATTATAATTAAATTTTGTATTCCAAAATAAAAATAATTTTTATTTTAAAATTTATTTTTATTTAATATAATGAATATATAACATTAGAAATGTTCCCAAGTGTTTTCGACAAAATTCTGTATTTTTTCTTTTTTTTTTTTGTGTTTCATACTTTTTTAAATATTTTTGTTCAATTATAACTTCATGAGTCTTTTGAAATGTTGGACCATGACCCACCATCTAGATAAGCAAATAACTTTTCTTTTGAATCAGTTTTAAATTATATATTTCATCTACATTAATTATATAAATAATTTTTACTTATCACACTTAATTTTTGTTTGACATAAATAATATATAATTTTTTATATATTCTTTTAATTATTTATACTTTTATTTTTTAATGATTTAGTATTTAACCATCATATCGTTGATTAATCTGTTTGACCCAAACCACTAACCCACCACTCAAAGGAAAATATTTTGATTTCTAGGTTGACATTAAATTTTGTATTACATTTTTATCATTGATAAAATTATTTCTTATGTATAAAACTTATTTTTGTTCAATATAATGAATTTATAATATTATAGATGTACCCAATATTTTATTTTTATAAACATATAGCATTAGATATGTGTCCAAAATTTTTTCTATTTTTTTTTTGTGATTCTTTATATTTTTTATTTTTTAAATTTAGAAAATTTTTCGATACATACCCTATACTTTAGGCCGAGTGCTAATTTAGTACCCAAACTTTAAAATGCGATAATTTAATAATTTTTTAAATGCCAAAATTATCCTTAAAAGATACATTCATCATCTTCTCTCTCAAAAAAATGAAACAGAGTCCAAAGGGCTCGCCGCTAGATGCGGCATATCTTCATCCGTCTTCTCCTACTTCTTTCTTACAACGTTCTTCTAGTAGATGACAACGATAAATCCCCAACTTCTGTAGCGATGTGAGACGTTGCAACTCGACAGGAATGGACATAAACAAAAGACGTTGCAGCTCTACACCACCTACATCACCTTCTAACTCCAACTCCTCAAGCTGTTGGAGAAGACATGGCGATGGCGAAAATGGCGTCCAAGTCAACTGAGGACAGTTCTTGATGTACAGTGTTCTTAGTGCTTCAGCAGAGAAAAACAGAGGGGGCAGCTCTTTTAACTTGGGGGCATTTTTCAAGCCGCAACTAAGTCGTGGCATCAGGTCCCATCTCCATCTCTCTGTATTTCTCCCTTGGGGCTCTTTTCATCACTGCTATTGATGTTGGGTGAAGAGACGGGCTTTGCGATGAATGTTGGCTCGTCGTCTCCGGGCATGAGGACGACAACCCTGTACTCAGTGTCGGGCGGTGGGCTGGTGGGCTTTGTTGTTTTCTCCTCAGTTTCATCTCCATTCCGTCGGCCAACACCGCGGCTGTTGCATCGGCTGCCTTCCTCCACTGCTCTGTGTTTCTAAATCACAACGGAGATGTACCTACTGATCCACATGTTCCACTTCCCGCTTCAGCTCTGATAGTGTTCCCAGTCCTCTGCCGCGTTAAAGTTGTTCAACGATGCTAGACAGGTGGTGGTCAAAACAGATGAAGGTAGCCGAAAGTGATCAGGTCATCTGGTGTTTCTTCAGAGCGGATTCCTCCTCCATAACTAGAAAAGAAGCAGACTTCACCGCTGTCTCCTTCACCTTCTTTTTCAAGAGCTCGTTCTCTTCCTGAACCATGTCCAATTGTTTCTCCTTCTCTGTCAACTTCTCTTTAAGCAAGTTCATCTCGTCAATCATCACAGTCGAGTTATCCAATGCTGGTTTCCTCATTGGGTTCATGGGTTTCCCCTGGAGGAGGAGAAGAGGTATGGTAGTCGAGAATTCCATCCCCTGAATCCGGTGGCAGTAGATGCAGGCGGAGTTGCACTTGCAGGTCCCATCTCCATATCTCTCTTTGTATTTCTCTTCTCTTGGGGTTCTTTTCTCTCTCTATATGTAGCTTTGCAAAGGTACAGTCAGATGAGTTTCACGGTCTCATTCTTATAGAGGAGGAGGAGCTTCACGGTGGCATAGCGGCCACGTTGGGGTGGTGTTCAACGAAGGAGACGATGAATAGTGCCGGTGAACAGTAAAAACTTAGATAAAACTTAAGGGGCATTTGTGTCTTTTCCCATGATACTTAACGTGAGTTAACGCCAAGTACTATATTATCGCAAAATGAAAGTTTGGGTACTACATTGTCGCATTTTAAAGTTCTGGTACTAAATTGACACTCGCCCTAAAGTGCAGGGTACCTATTAGGAATTTTCCCTTAAAATTTTATTATTTGAGTATGACATCATTTCATTTCTAAGTTGATTTTAAATTTGGAATTCCATTTTCATGGTTAATAAAAATAATTCTTACATTACATATTGTTGTTTAGTATAATGAATATACAATATTAGAAATACTCCAATTCTTTTTTTTTTTGTATTATATACTTTATTTGTTTTAATTTTTTATTATTTAATTATGGTATTGTTTATGAATCCATTTGACTCTAAATGGTTGAATTGCTTACCTACCATGGAAAAAATGGTTTTGTTTTTAAGTACTTTTCAAAATATTTATTTTTATACTATTAAAATTAATGTTATAGATTTAATTAATAGAATTTAATGATGAGAAAAATATATCTTAAATATAGGATTTAATGAAAGAATATGCCTTAAACATAAGATTTAATGAGAAAGAATAAGAAAATAATTTTATTTCTGATTGATTTTAATTTTATATTCCATTTTCATCATTAATAAAAACATTTCTTATTTATCATACTTATTATTGTTTAATATGTCAAACATACAATGTTAAAAATGTTCTCATTTTTTTAATTTTTATATTTTTTGCATTTTATCTATTTTAATTTTAAATTTTATTATTTAATTGTGGCAACATGGATTGGCTCATCTAGCCCAAAATGGCTTGATTTCTTACCACCACCTAGATGAAAACACTATTTTTTTAGGTAGATTTTGAAAGTATAAGTTTTTATGTTATTGGAATTATTAATTTGTTATGTATGAATTTAATTAATAGAATTTAATGATGAGAAGAAACAAAAATGTTTTAAATATATGATTTAATAAAGGTGAATGCAAGTTAATACCCTAAATGTTGAATTTAATAAGAGAGAATTGAATGCATTTAATATCTTAAAATTACCTCTTTTTAACTCATTTAATATCAATAACTGATTACCCTATTTGCCCTCATTTTTTTATCAATTAATTTAAATAAAGGGGTATATTTTGTCCTCAAAAAATTCCATAAATATTCTAGAGGTTATTCGTGCTTTTTAAAATAGTATAGATTTTAATCGATGTAAAACCAAATCTTTACATTTAAAAATATTGAAATGTTAAAACATTAGCAATTTCCATTAACATTCTAATGTTGAGTTAACAAAAGAGGGGTAGAAAAAATAGTATAAGTTCAAGGAGGGCAATGCAATAAATATATGAGGTGCTTGGCATGATGTCGTTTTCTGAGAAAATGGCACCACATAAGCACCACATAAAAAAAAACAATGCTTGAAAAAATGGCCTCTTGTTTGGTACCGTTTTATTGCTTTAGACCACCACGCCTTGGAAATCAGAAAAGTGTGGTCTAAGGAAATGTCAAATTCAATTGTTGCCAAAAGGTACAATGATGTGACATTATCTTAGATATTGAATAGTATAAACCAATGCTACAAGTGGTTCTACAGCACACTCATACCAAACAAAACCAACATTATATTCTCATAAAACAACCTATGTGGTAGCTAAGCACATTTAGATGCCAAACACCTATATAAAGTATGTGTTTGGAACCATGAACATTTATTGACTAAATGTTTTGTACTTTATTTGTTTGAAAAACCAAAAAAAACAATGATAAACCCGTTGGACGCCATTACATGCCAAATTAACAACACAGTGAATAAATATCTATCTTCGCAGAAATGCTAAAATGAAGCTTCCTATGATAAAAGGGAAAAGCATCCGATGTAGAATTCTGAATTCCAGCCCCCCTAGTAGCCCTCTCCCCCTATAAACCACATACTGCCCATGAATTTAACATCAATTCACCGTTAGGATGCATTCCCCACTTTAGAACTATAAAATTCTGATCTAACATGATTGGTCATTCTCCCGTAATAAAACGGCACGTAAACGGTAAACAAAGTCTACCCTTGCGTAGGGAAAACGACGAAGTGGCACGTATGTGACATCGTTTATTCAAATAAATGCCCACCGTAAAAAAGTACGGTAGGTTTGCGCAATTTACCAAACTCTACCCAGCTGACACAGGCTTTTTCGTACGAAGGTGGCTGAGTTTGCCTGCGTCTACGCCATCCGACGTGCTTTCGCAGTTATATGTCTGCGTCTGTCTCAGTCCGTGCATGTTTATGCTTTTATCTCCCATTGCCACAGAAGTCACGAGGCATGTCGTTGGCTTGCAGTTGCAGCACCTTTGATTCTGGGTCCGGCTCAAAGTAATAATAAATGCCATGGTCCTCCATGTCCATGATACATACCGCCATCGCCATGCTTCTTTTTCCTTTCTCATCGATGCAAGTCTGAGACTCCAAGGAGCGAAGACCATCGTTTTCTCCCGGCTTGCACTGATGAGTTATGGAAAGGAAAAGCGATGGCCACTGAAGTTTCATTTTTTTATTTTTTATTTTTTATTTTTTTGATGAGGCCATGAGACTTGGATTGTAGTTACAGGAACATAATAAAATCGTGGTTATATCTTCTGCCTCTTACAATGAAAAATAGAGTTTTCGCTATAAAAGGAATGGAAATAATAACTGAAATATTTGTATTTTCGGTGTGGAAAACTTACACAATTTTGTGGATGGATATGGTTTTTTAATGTGAATAAAAAAAAAAATACTTAAAGGGAGTAATAGGAATTCTGGAATTAGGGGGCCCATTTAGTTTGATGTGTGATGTACGAAGTAGAGTTGTAGGGCGAATCAACATTCCGTTCCGTGCAAGGGTCTGGCTGTGGCTGCCTGGCTAGTCCTATCTCCCTCTCACCTTCTTCAACTTGCGTCAATCCAATCAACTGCTGCTGTCATTCAGTTAAGTGTTGGAAATTACGTTGAGGTGTGTTATTGTGTGATCTGGGTCTTAAATTGGTTGAACCAATGAACCCTAAAAAGATTCAACAGCCCTTCTCTGAAAATAGTCAAAAACAATGTTTCTCAGTCGTTGTTTTAAGTGTGATCATGCTTTCTGATGCTAAAATAAATAAATAAAACATCAACTTAAAAACAAAAACTTTTTTGACCACAAGGGAAGAAGTGATTAATAATCTTCATCGTTTTAGTGCAGGTTCTGAGTCCGATTTTCATTGAGGATTTGTTATTTGAGTGGTTTTCTGAACACATACTCAGGTATGATCCGTGTTTTTTCTTCTTGTTTAGAACATTTTTCTCTTTTCTTTTTCTTGGTCTTCCTTCTGTTGGAGCATTAATAGGTTCATTTAGATCGATTGTCCTCTTGAACTCTGTTGCCCTCCGCATCTCAACTCTGAAGAACTCCGCGTTTTTTTGTTCTTCTTCTACGAATTGAAGCAGAACGCCCCCACCCCAGCACCACCTCCCCCGACCAACAAAAAAGATGGAAGTTTTGCTCAGGGAGATTATTTTCTTCTCTTTCTTTTTCTTGGTCTTCCTTCTTTATGAGTACTAATGGATTCATTTGGGTCGATAGATCTCTTGATCTCTATCCTCCTCCTCTCAACTCTGAAGAACACCTTATATTTTTTTTTCTTCTCCCACGAATCGAAGCAGAACGACCCAAGCACACCTCCACCTACCAGAAAAAGATAAGAAAAAAGAAGGAATAAAGAAAAGATAAAGTTTTGCTCATTTATGCTTACAAGGGACCACAGAATACGTTATGGTAAAATTTCCCATTTAATTATTTGAGGCTTATTTGGCTTGTAATTTATTCATAATCAAATATTATCCTGAAGATGGACTCCCACTTGTCAGAATATTCTAGAAAAATTCATGGTTGTCATTTGCCAATTCCTTTTTTAATGATTTATTGGATGTAATTTCTTTTATTTCCTTTGAATCTCAAAAAGTTGGGACCGAATTCTTAATTCTTTTTTCCTCAATTGTTATGCAGCCATCCAGTTGGTGATCTCGAACTATAGTTATGTTTCCCAAACTTTGTGATGAGGAGGTTCCTTGGATCTGTTGTCACGAGTCTAAATTATGTTCAAGAAGACAATGTTTGGAAAAAGGAAATGAAAACCAACATCCATACATATTTATGAAAACAGTATTGATTTCTATTGCCTGAAGTTATCAAATTGTTCCATATTTTGAAAGATAGTTTGTAGGAAGCAAGAAACATTGATATTGAAGGGAAAATTTTCCAGTATTGCACAACTTAGATTAGGCCTTCTGCAGTCTGGTTTCAGCCAACCAGATGTTTTTTCTTAACTTTTGGGGTGGGAGTTTTTCAGTCCATACTATTTGTGATTTTTCCCGTTTAGCTAACCAAATGCTTACTTGTAGAGTTGTAAGAGAGTGTGATGGCACCTCCTTTTTATTTTCATTTATTTTCTTTTCTTTTTTTTTTTTTTGTTTTGGTGCTGGGTGGGTGACCCTTAGATTGATTTGGATATGGTTTCTCCAGTTTTCATTGTCTTGTTTATCCACCAGAGAACAATATGAAGCATGAACAGATCGGACAGGATCATATCACAAGCAACAATAGTAGAGCATCAGAAAGTGCTGGAGGTGATGACCAATTCATTCACTTCAGATTTGGGAGTTACTATTTTCAATTACAGGTGCATACTACTTCCCTAAAGATTAGTGTATACATCAATTCTGTTTTTGGGTGGCAGGCTCCTAACTAGTTAGTTGCTTAACACTGTCTTCTTCTTTTTTAAACTCTCTAACTACCATTAAAATTTATTGCACTAGTGTACTTCCTCAGATATTGGCTATACCTGGAACTCATCCTATGCTACTTAGCTTTTTTTTTCCTCACACTGGCACTTCTAGTCTTCTACTTAATTGCTTTCTTCCTATTTCTCTTATATTTTCTTTCATAAGGAGATTGATAAAAATGTCTTTTTTTAAGTGAAAAACGCAATAGTTTGATAGAATGGATGCACCATTCTTCATAGGGGAAAACTTAATATTATATTATCCAATGCTGCATACTTCTGAAATATTTCATTTTCACACAGAAGATGAGGCTTTGGCTTCCATGGACAAGTTGCATCCTTTTCCTTGTGCAGAATTTGGTTGAGTTAACTTCTGGGGTTAGTATGCCAATCATATTACCAAGATTGAGTGTCATATGTAAACTCCAAAATTTTAATCATTATTGCATCCTCAATCAATTGTAAGATTCCATTACTATCCTATTGTCTACTTGGTTTCCAGATTACAAGACACTACAATTGGTTCTGATAGTTCATGCAAATATGCGTTGCAGCCCTTGTGGAATTTTTGTTTATGCCTCTTGCCTTAGGTCTTTACGTTTTGGATTTAATTCCAACTAGTACACTTCATAAAAATCTGTCATTGGTATAGGGCCCTGCATCTGTTTTGATCATACCATGTTCAAAACGTCCCTTTGAAGGTGATCAAGAGTAAGATAGGATGTTACTTGGAATTGCTCCATACAAAAACCCTTTTATGTGGTAAGCATTTATTGGGGATATGGGTCCTTCTCCACATGGAGAAAATATAAAGCGTTTGTTGAGTGTTGATGTTCCCTTCTTATGAAATATAGTTTCACATCTAGATTATTTTTGGTAACAAAGCAAAAGCAATAAAGGCAAAGTACATGACTAGGGTGCAGATTTAGATTTATTACGAGGTTACTGGTAATTTATGTTCTCCTTGGTGCTTGAATTACCTTATTGCAAGTGTATCATGCAAAGGGTGCATATTCATTCAAGGGTCTCCAATTTTAAATCAAACATTGGACAACAAGATTATGACATTTATTTATTGTAATTGATATCGATATAATTTGTCTCAGAGAGATGACAGACAGCAAACATGTATAGAAAAACATGTTTTACAAGACTTGAACCTGAATCACTTGAATGGAGATCAGAAAAATGACCTTTAAACCACAACCAATACACATGTTACGGTATGTAATATTATATATATATATATATATATGTATATATAGATAGATATATGATATCATGGGTCACTGGGTCAACTCAGTGGTTGAACTGCTTAACCTGTGACCTGGTGGCCTTTCTGGTTTTATGAACAGTCCAACTCTTACAATATTGCTATCACTTATAGAGAACAACATTTCTGTCAATTGTAAAAACCCATTTTGAGCTTTTTATTGGACACTGAAACCCAAAAAAAAGGCCTGAGAATGAGGAAAAAAACTTGGTGCAGATGCTATTTCAAGTTGTTTGTTTAATGGCTTCAATAGACAGGCACAGATTGCTTTCTTCCAGAAGAAAATGTTGTTATGGTACAAACTAAAAATGATGTCTGTTGCATTATATTATGTTCTCAAATAGCTTAATTCTTTGGAAGTTATCGTATGGATGCGTAAATGTTTATTGTCATGATAGTTACTTCCATAAACTGTATTTATTAAGGATGCAAAGGATGGGATCTATTCACATGGTGGAAACAAATCAGAAAGGAGATATTACAGGGGAACTGAACCATCTTTTTACATGCCATGGGGCAATAGTGATGGGATCAAGGTTGAACTTCCCATGATTACATTTTTTATTTCCTCGGGCAGTTTGTTATCAGTTCCTTTAAGCCACTCAGAAATTGGACTTGTGACTGGGAACATGATGGTTCCAGGGACTATTCTGTTGTCAGCACTTCACATTTATTCTATTGTCAAGCAGGTTGCTTCAGAGATCCCTAAATATGGGCTTCTTATGAGGTGTCACTAGGGATCCCTAAATGTTGGCTTCAGAGATATTGTAAGTGATGCTAGCAAGGATTGTTTTCTTTTGAGCTCTTACATTTATCTCCATTGTTAGGTGCGTGGCTTCAGGGTTCCTACTTGGGGATTTCTTATGTGGGATTCTAAAGAGTTATTTTATCTTGCCTTCCCTTCCTTTTTTTCCTATTATAACTTATCTTAAAATGTGCTATGTTTGTGATTCTAACTCATCATCATCATCATCCATGCCTTATCCCAACTATATGGGGCTGGCTACATGAATCCTGTTTCGCCAATCATTCTATTTAAAGCTAGTTTGTAATTCTAACTCATATCTGGGAAAAATGTTGATAACCGTTTGTAAGAATTATTTTTCTTTCTTCAAAAATGGATCAGTTTGAAGACAGTTAAAATGATTTCTGGGAAAGGAAAGTTTGGTGCTTGGTTTTTAGGAGGGAGTGGTGGAATTTTGTGGTTCATTCTCATGCCCTTCCCTGTCAGTTGAAGAAACATTTATTTTGATTAAGAGGAATGCACACATCTACAATTGGTACTACAATAGGCATATTCTATGTTCCCTCCTTTCAGTTGGCTTTGGTCAGCACTATAAGAATACATCAACTTTGGAGAGAGTCTCATTCCCATCAGGGAATCATCTATTTGATTTTAGAGAAAAATAGCAGCAAGCTCACTCTTTAAATCCAAAAATCAAGTTAGTAGACTTTGAAAGATGTTGCAGACATATCATGGATAATGGCAAAACAAAGGCCCAACGGTGACTCGTACATTGTTGAAATTCCATGTTGGTTCCTCTACACACACCTGCAAAGTTCGGACTTCTAAGGTGATAGAGATTAATAGCACCAGACTTAGGCTATAAGAGACATAGGATACAGATATCTTCCAAAATCTGGTAAAATTAGACTAGAAAATTCAAGTGAATCACAGAATTGTAGACCAGATGCTTTGTATATGGAACAGAGGTCACTGATCTTGCTAACCTCATAGTAAATGTCCTGCTAAGATAAGTCTTTGCATTTGATAATATTCTTTACAGTGATAAACAACTAGATTTTCAATTGTAAGAAATGATGTAATTAAAGTATTTAAGGTAACCCATAACCCTCACTGTCAGGAAAACTTTGGCTGTTAGGAACATTCTTGCGCATGACACGTTACCATGAATGTGAGGTAAAAGAGTAATTGTCCTCAATGTTCTTTTGACCAAAAAGACAAGCAAGGGACTGAATGGGTTGACGTGTCATGCCCAAGAACATTCACAACAGCCCAGGCTGTTGGCCCCCAACAGCCAAAGTTTTCAGCTCATTGTCCAATGCAACTTATAGTTATCTACAAAATAAGAAAGGGGAAAATTCTTTCCTTATTTGAAGGTCCAAATTTTTGCAATGAAATCTATCTATCCAATAACACATAATTCTAGACTGATATCTTTTTCTTGTGTCATTTAAAGGTCCAGATCATTCGGATCTATACACCATCATGTGTTTCAGTGTCCAACACCAATATGAAGTGTTCAAAACAGATTTTGCGAAACTAAAAACTAAGTCAAGTCCATATTATTTATTTTTTTTAATTATTATACATCCTTGGAAAATGCCTTTTGCTCACATACCAATAAATATACTTGAATGAACTGATGCACACACACAAAAAAAAAACTATGAATGGTATACAAGTAGTTCTAGGAACCCTTTGCTTATCTGAATCTTACTTTTGCTGATATGGTGAAGTATATGTGCATTAAATGGAACTTACCTATCATATAGATTTGAAGAGACATCTCTAAATCCGAAAGGTCTTTTGTTGAACAGAGGGCTTCCAGAGTGGTCATTGTGTAACAACTGGGTAGAAAAGTCTTTCCATGTTGGATTAATTTCCTAGTTTATAGGCATTTGTATGTGTTTGCCAGCAGCTTTTGGGAGAGAACTTTTGGTAGTTTTCTTCTTTGTAACTTTGACGTAGTGGATCTGTAAATGATTTTTTTGCTTGATTTCTCATGTAAAGTTGGGACTACTCATACTTCATAGCTTCATCTTTCCTTTAAATTATTTAACACTTACTTTTATCTGTATAATGTCATAGTACTTATTCAAATAAGTACATATTAGTGTTTGGGAGGTCTTTTCTCAAATCACTTCTACTTATTTTAAATACTCATTTGTGTTGCAGTGTTTGGTGAGCCACTTATCTCTTAAGTACTTGTATTTTTGCAGAAATGACAATTATAGCCTAACTTAACAGTCATATATTGGATAAATACAAAGACAAATAAAAAATATAAATAAATACTTTTCCCATAACTGAACCTGTTTCCATGTTCACCACTGCAGTGGTGTGAGGAAGAGAGGAGGAAAGAAAGAAAAAAAGAGGAGAGAGAGAGAGAGAGGAGGGGGAAGAAGAAAGAGATAAATAAATAAAAGGAGAGAGAGACAGTGGTGGTTCTGGAAAGACTCAGTTATGACGGTAGAAGGAACAAGAGGAGAGAGAGAGAGAGAGAGAGAGAAGTGAACAGTAATCTTCTTTTAAAGATAGGGACAGTCCCTGGAGAATGAACAAAACATTGGGGACAGTCTTGTTCCAGAAAAAGAAATAAGTACTCATTGAATAAGCACTTAAAGCCACACAATTCTGGCTTATTTTTGAAATGCTTGTTTTCAAAATAAGCACTTATTCTGGGTTTTTTTTCCAAACATGAATAAGTGCTTATTTTTCACTTATTGTGTGGTCCCACCATTTAAAATAAATACTTATTCGAATAAGCACTTATTTTAAGTGCTCCCAAAAAGGGGCTCAGATAGATTACATTTAGCTTCCTAACAATGTTCTTGTATCATATATCAATGTTCTCATATATTAAGTGTATCCATCTTTTGTAGTTGACTGTGACTGGTCATGTTGGCACTAAGGATGACTTTGAATTTTGGGGAATTTTTCATTAGATGTTAGCTGTATTACTAACATAAATAATTTGAATATTAATAATTTGGACCTGTTCTGTTTCCATTATTTTGTCAACAGTATTGAGTATTTTATCACTTGCCTCTAAATTGGACCTGACCCATTTTCTGTCTTATGTTTTACCAACTTATTTTTGGCACCTGTTATGTTCAATTCCTCCCTACTATCTCTTGATGCAAACATTTTCCATTATCAAATCTTAACTTGGGTTGACCTCACAAACTTCTAGATTGCATCCCTTATCTAACTTCTTTCTCGAAATTCTTGTTCTCCATACAACCTCTCTTATTTTTCATTATCTTCCCACATGATCATTAGGATCCTTTAAATTGATGCTTCTATATTTACCCAAAATTGTGCTTTTTGTTGCTTTCCTCTCATTTTACCTGAAGCTTTGTGCTCTGGAACATCAGATATTACCCAACTTCAGCCTATATCTTTTTCTCTCAATATCAATAGTCTTATGACTTTTATCCTTCAATTGTATGTCCGCACCCCTCTGTTTCATTTAAATGGTTTTTCCTTTAATTTATACCAACTGTCCTTAATACTCTTATTTCCACTTCATATCTGCAAAACATGCTATGTACTACTCATTTTGCTCTGAGCCACCAATTCCTTTCTCTTGTTAAAATTTCTATACATTAGTGATGAGGAGAATATCATATAATAAACATTCCCCTCATCTACCTCTCTAAATGGAAATCTAATTTTTTGTCAATTGCTTTTCCTGCAACACTGTACTATTGCAGCGCATTTTTCCTAGGGATTTTTTACTGCAGTCCCATGAATATTTGGCATTGGCTAAACAGAGAAGCCTAGCATGTCTAAGAAACAGAGCCTGAACATTTTGAAGGATTGGTCAACAGTGTCTTGGTAGCTCAAACAGAAAGTAACCCTGGTGCTTCACACAGACCTGGAACTGCTATCTGTGCATATTTTCTTGGGAAATGGTGTGTATGTACAAGCTCATTTTGCCCTTTGAAATGCAAATTGATATTCAATTAAATGCATATCATGTTGACTTAAAAGTTAAAATTCTCCTCTATCTTGGTTGCAGCCCTACTAGAATTGGTGTTTCCCTGGGCTCTGGCCATGCAAACAAAGCAGCTTCAGTGTATTTTAGGCCAATGATGCTATCTATGAGATGACAGGTTCATAGTCCTATTTTTATTTCCCTACCATTAAAATTCCTGTTTGTTTCTTCAGTCAGTCTTGAAAGTAAACTTTCCTTGAAAACCCTTTCTTTTATTCAAGGCTGTTTCCTCAATCTTYGCAGTCAAGTTTCCTCAGCCATATTCTGTTCTTTCAGGATGGGTATTGGGTAGCAAATTACACTGAGACAAGTGATTCTTATCCTTTGCCAAGGCCCAAGCAGGTATTAGTGTTTTTGGCAGGACAAAAAAAAATGCTTCAAGGTTCACATTTCTACTGGTTATTGGCATTTTGTTTTATCATTAAATTTCTGCCCACTTTGCCAAGCAGGTATTAGTTTCTTTCTTTTGCTATATCTATCATCAGGGCACCAAAAAAAGGAGAGGGGGGGGGGAGGGGGGCGTTAGTATAATGTTCTTGAACAAATCTGCACATGTCAGGTTTCCCAAATCAAAGACTGATCACCAATCACCATACTAGTAACGAGTAGGACTTGCAACCCATGAGTGTNCCCCCCCCGCCACCACCCCGCCTGCAAAACAAGCATCTCTGATTCCGATTTGACTTGACTGGTTCCCAATTCCTTGAAACAAAGACTGTTGGGAAGCAAAAAGCACCAAAGGTGGAAAACGCCATAGCTGCACCACAAACAGACAAGGTGGAAGTTTCCTCGTCCATTTAGTTCTGTTGAAACCTAAATTCGGATAACCCCTATAGGGTTGAGCTTTTTATTTATATATTAAGTTATCCAGTAAGATGGTTAACATATAAAGCAGATGGTTATGGGAATTCATTATTGCCTCTTTAAACACTACCAGATCATAATTGATGTTTCACCATAAAGGAAATGATTCCTCAACTGTATACCCTCCGTGGCCGCACCCTGCTGGCTCTTCTGTAATTGGTTGTTGATAGATGATGATTTTCTTCTCTTCATACCGACAAGTGATAGCTTTAGAAATATAGGATCCTAGTTCCTAGAAATTATCAAGCAAAAACTAGTGAAAGAGAATAACTTGCCCAGGGTAGAAACCTGCAGAAATTGCAATGGGTGCTGCTGCAACAATGGTTGAAACCCCGCATGAGCGAGCAAGCACCTTGTAATTCGATTAAAGCACATTGTTGCAATGGGTGTTGCAACAATAATTAATTGGACCCTGGAGATGGCCAAAGAAAAGCGGTAGTTGTAGCCGTAGAAAGTTGGTTCAAAGCGTTTCTGGCTGTTTTAAGTATTATTCCTTAATCCTTAAAAAGAAAGGCAACGCCACATGTTTTCCCTTCTGAGGGTGGGGGGAAAGAAGCCTTGTTCTTTTTATCATTGCTCTGTCAAGTACCGTCGCCAACTTGCCAAGCAGTGGGTGTTTGCCCATGGATTAATGGATCAAAGCTCAAGGAAGAAAAGAATTGAATTGTCAAAAGATCCCTCTCTCTGATGAGAAAATCATATGGTGATATTGTATGGTACAAAATTAAGTATCTCAATTCTATCTCCTCTCTTTGATTTTGTGGGTCCACTAACCTAAATACCTACACAAACTCAATCTCGACAGTCAACAGATCTATCTCTTAAATCTTCTTTTATCTCAGTTGTTTTTGATCCCCGTCTTTTTTTTACATATATTACAAAATAAGGAGCGCCAGAGCCAACTCTGCACCGCTCCCCCCCCCCCTTCCCTTTTCCCACTGCAACCACCAAAAGGAAAAAAATCGGAAAAACCAATACAACCCACAAAGAAGAACCTGAGCTTCACCATCTTGTATAAACTCGCACAACACAACGGCAGAAATTGCAACGCAGCTTATGTGAAGGAGAGAAGCTGTACTCTCCATTCCATCTTCATTTCCCCCAATTCAACGCCTGGCCGTCTCCCAGTTTGGATTGGATCATTCCACATCCGCCCACCATTCCTACTTAACTTCCTTGGGTCCTGGGCGAAACTCTTGACTCAACAAAAGGGGACTGTGCCTCATCAGTATCAGAATCGCTTCCAGACGAGCTTCCTGAATCCGAATCTGCAACAACTACAAAATAAGCTCTCCCTAACGACACCCAAAAGACAGGTAAACAATGGAGAGATAAGGTAATGGTTTTCATACCGCTGGATGAGGACGAGTCACTGCTTGAACTGCTAGAGCTGCTCGATCTGCTCGCACAGCCAGCATCCTTCTCAATCTCCACAGGGGGGAAGTTGTTTGTTGGGATATCCTCCCCAATATCAACATCCTCCTCCACTGTTTCCCCTTTCTTAACCTTCTTTGCAGAAGCTGACATTGGAGCTGCTGCTGCTGCTGCTGCTGCCTCAGTTTTCTCATCGACCAAAGCCTGCTTCAAGTAAAAACAATGTCACTAACCAAGAAGGTGGGGAAATATCAAACAATCAAGCCCTAGATTAACAATGCCATTACCTGGCTGTCTTGGGCCACGGAAAGCGGGTTGGTAGCAATTGATTGCCTCTTAATCTTGCTCATCACCTTCTTGAAATTGAATACAAAACGATCAAGCTCCCAAAGCGTCTCAGTGTCCAGAACTTCAATATCAAGCTCGATCTCATCCCCCTGCTGCGCCAATTTAGCGTTTCTTTTCTTTATGATCTGCAACACCTGTACCATCTTCTCGTCTGGGAGGCTTTCGAGGTTCTTTCCCAGCTTTTCTTTCTCCTCAAAGCTCATTTCCCGTTTGTTTGGATCCTTTGCCTTCGGCTTTGGCTGCTTTACCATGGCAGACCTTGCTGCCATCAATGGTTTCATAGCAGCCGATGGGGGCGTTTGAGCTGGTCTCTGTGCCGCTTGAGGGTTTGGTGGGGGATTTGATACTGGAGCCTGTCTTGCGGTTGAAACCGGAGCGTGTTCAAGTTTTCTTGACCTCTCCGGTGTTGGAACTCGAGTCCAAGAGTTTCGTCGCATCTCCATCGCAGAGGCAGCAATTGTAGTCGCGGCGTGGGTGGAGACAGCAATCATGCGTTGCTGCTCATTCTCGAACTTCTTGTAAGAAGGCTTAAACATCTCCTCGAAGCGAGCCAGCAGCTGCTCCGCTATGTTATAAACATCATGACCCTTAGGATTATATACAAGGGCATTGTTGAAGGTTAATCGAACATCAGAGGCAAAATCAAGAGGCGATGCATAGAGATTTTTGCCAAGCTTCGTCTTAACGGTTCCAAGGTCCATTGGGTGCTTGATTATCTGGTTGTAGTCGTGAAGCCCCATGCCATCAACATCAACAGGGACATTAAAGATCCATCCGTGCTTGTGCTTCATCAATTTGGACAAGATCTGCCCGCAGCGCTTCATTGCACCGGAAATTAGCTTGCCCGTTGAGGCGGGTTCTAATGCTGCCCTCTTTGGGTCTCTGCCAGAGGCCGGAGGAAGAGGACGTTTGCTCCCTGAACCTTTCTTGCCATCAGGAGGCATTCTCTCCTTTCCCGTGACAAAATCAGAGGGCCCATAGCACTGGTTCGCATTCGGAGTCCGTTTCTCTTTTGCTCCATCGGCACCTGATGAATCTAAGGACTGGTTTAGATGTAAAGGCGGCCTTGTCGCAGAGGTGACTTCCTTACCTCCATAGCCGCCAGAAGCGCTGTAACCGGATCTAGATTGGATTTCTCTCAGTTCGATCCGGCTGCTCAAGCTCCGGACTTGTTCTAGCTCCGAGATCAGGCGTTTCTTGAGCTCCTTTAGCTCTCTTCTCGAATAAGCTGCGATATTGAAGGTAACGTATCCACCAAGTGACGATTCTCTTCGATTGTTGTGGTTGATCGATTTCCCTTTCAGTGAAGACGAATCGTTTGACAGTGCCGGAGAAACGCCCGCTGATTCATCAGCCTGCCGGCCATGAATTTGTTTTGGAGGGTCATAGATCGACTTGTTAGGGTTGGAGTTAGGGTTAGGGTTGGCCTTAAGGAGAGGGTTAGAACTAGGGTTTTTCCTCATATAAACCTTCCGTTCTCCCCAATACGGCTCATTCCGACTGGCCAAGAGAGCGGACGCCATGCATGCACGAGATTAAATCAGATTGGTCGGACTCCGGCGAACATCCGGCAAGAAAGTTCGACTGTAGATGGCTGAGAAACCATGAGGTACTGCGTCAGCACGGGGAAAAAGGGCAAGGAATACCAAAAGATTTTCCGGCAAGTGAGCAGTTATTGCCGGATGACAGCCGGAGAAGGAAGGAAATTAAAAGAAAATAAAAAATAAGGAGAAAGGGCAGCGTGAAGACGAGGGTTTCGAAGACCCTCAATGGAGCGAGGAACGAAAGGGCGGCAACTCCACCTCTTAAAGGCAATTAGATCTGCCCGTCTTGACCTTAGTTTGGTTACCGTCCGTCGATGTATTTCTAGCCATTCATCGAACGGTTTCAGTCTCTTACCTTCTGCCCGAGCTTCTGACCGTCCCATCTGTCACGGATGGCTGGGATTTGAGGTGTGGACACGTGTCATGTTACAAGCCGTCAAAGTTTGCCGAGCGGGAATTGAATTTGGCGTGAATTTGGGACGAATGACTACTGCATTTTGCATTTGGTTTCTGGAAGGTGGGGTCCCCATCCGTGCTCACGTGGAAAAGTTCCAGCTGGCAGGTCCCGGCAAAATATCTTTTGTTGCGGTTGCGGAATCTTCTCCCGCCAAAATCCGTCTATGCCAAGTCAGCGCCGGAAATGGTATGGTATTATCTATACCACGTGGAAGCATCATGTCACACGGGTGCTTTTTTTGATGCCTACGTTTAATGCTGTGGGTCCGGGCTCCCGTTTTGGTTTCACTTTTATCAGTTTTATGCATCTCTCTTCAACCCAAACCAAAAAGAGGCCGTCTGGATCTGGGCCGCTGGAGTTACAGAGCCGTGATCGGTTCTCTCTGACCTATCAAATCGAACCGGTTATGTCGGTTCTGGTTCTGTCATTTTGTCCATAATTGAATTGGTTTGGGTTATTAGATCTGAACTGATTGTTTTGTTAATAATATATGAAGGCTGTTTAGTTTTTTATAATTTTATTTTATGTCTAAAAGAGTAAATTTAATAGATAATATGTAAGATTATTTTGATTAAAAATACTTATTAAACATAAATAATTTATAGTTTTACTGTAATTTTTTCTAAGGTTATATTATTAAAAATCAAAATTTCAATTATTATTTACATGGAAATATCTATGATAACAAAATTATGTTAGTATAATCGGGTCAGACCGGTTATCCCAATTTTTTATAAGGGCGGTTTTGGGTCTAAGCCTGACTCGAACCGGATCCGACCTATTGATAGGCTATTCCGAATCAGACCGGAGTCGATGATGTGACAAATATAACGTCGTGGTTAGAGCCCTAGAGGTAGAAGTGGCAGACATCGTGGACGTAGATTGGAAAGAAAAACCGGATTTTTGAGACATTCTGCGTATGGATTCTTTGTTTTCTCGTTAGAAGGCGGTGAGATGAGATGAAGGTCTGGTAAGGAATTATAAATTGACGTGGTATAAAAGTAGAAAAAAATCAGATAAGCGGACGAGTCTGGACCGTGGGCTAGACTTTTACGTGGGCCCATAAACATCTGCGAGCAAAAAGAGAGATCGGCTTCAGTCAGTGCAGAGTTTAAATCAACCCCCCACCAGATTGCCCTTCACAATGTCCCACATCACATCTCAGCCATGTATTATAAATATCTCTTAAAGATGATATCATCATTTTTTATAATATTATTGAGAGATGTTCACAATATATTGGAGGAATGTGCTGTGAAACGTTATGGGGGCAATCTTGTGGGGTGCTGATTTGATCTCGTCAGTGCAAGGCCCATTTTCGAACAACCTTTACAGCCTTCCACTGACTGAAGCCTATCTCGACTGAATCCGGTTTCGCGAAGAGACTAAAGAGAAATAGAGAACTCCCCGCGGCCCCGGCTTAAGAGGGTCAATTTATCTGGACGCAGCGGAATGAGTAGGATCCTTCATCTCTATACATGTCGTATTTGTACAGGAGAGATTGTATGGCTTCTCAAAGTAAACAAACTTTGGGGAAATACGAGTGAAAGAATGTTAAGAGTTAAACTCACTTTACAAATTTTTATTTTAATTACTTACAATAATTTAAAAATTTTCAATACCCCCACTTATCACATTATATTCCCTTGTACAATTCCCTAGTGCTGCTGTTAACTATACGATGAAGTAAAAATTTGTAAGATGGGGTGAATGAAGATTTTCCAAAAACTTTTTTGTTCCGATGACTATGAGTGCCCTGTGCCCGTTTGAGAGGAGTTCGAAATCATACATTGGAGAGGAGTTCCTAAGGTTGTGTTTGGTTGCAATTCAAATAAATTTGCACCAATGCAAAACCATGACAGTGCAAATGATTTAAGTGTAAATTTTAACCTATTTTTGTTTCAATTTTTAGCTTATTTTGTTTGATTACAGTACAAATCAAGTAAATTAAGACATGAAGCAGAATAAAGTAAAATCTAAAACAAAATTAAACAAGAATTTGCATTTTTTTTACATTTGCACTCCCATTCACTTGTACTAGGGCAAATAAAATAGCACTGCAACCAAACACAGCTTAAATGGAATTTTTCTTCCAAAAACTTTTGGCTTTCCGAGACAACTTATGAGATATATTTGATGAATAAATCTAAAGAATCTAAGGGTCTGTTCATTTGCACTAAACACTGAAGTCTAAATGCATCTAAAAATGTAATAATTATTTTAAGATGTGTATTAGAGTTGATGAATTTTTTCTTGGTTCTAAAATCAAAATGTAGATAATGTTGTTTTGAAATCTGAATGCTAAATTCTAAAAAGTAACAAATGACCATTTTTACCTTGAATGTGAAAAGTTTGTTTAACTATTAAACAATTTAATTAAATCAATATAAAATAATTAATAGAAGTGGAACTGATAAAAATTGTAAATTATTAAATATCTTTAAAGAATTGACCATTAATTAATTAATTAATAAGTAATAAATCCGTACATAATTATTAATTAAAGTAATTAAATAATGATTAATAATTTATAATTATTATTAATCATTCTTATAATTAATCAAAATAATCAATTATTAATTAATTCAAATAATTAAATAATGATATAGGTAACTAAATAATACATATGTAATTAATAAAATAATAATAATAATAATAATTTATAAGTGTTATTTCATTACTAATTATATAATTAGATAATAACTAATAAATGTTATTATTATTATTATTATTATTATAAGGTAATCATTGCATAACTAAAAAAGAGCAACCTTTTAGGGGTATTTTTGGAAAATAAACGTAAGCATTATTGTTACTGTACATGATGTACAATGCATTAAGTCTGAAAATAAAATGACAACTGAACACTCTTGATACCTCTTAAAATAAAGAGATAAGAGGTAAGAGGTATTAAGAGCAAAGGAACTTGCAATAGATCCATCGTTAGTCATTTGAAGGGCTATTTTCTAGGTGAGGCCTACATGAAACAACCTTGAAGTTTTGTTTGGTGAAAAATCTAGAGAGCCCAAATTGGTTGTCAATCAATCATTTTTTGGGTTGTCTGCTTCATTTATCTAAAACTAGAGGTGCAAATTAGGTCATGTTGCTCGTGGCTCAACAAGCAACATGCAAGCCGTGTTGGGCTTGGGGTTCCAAGTCCATAGGCCGACACAACACAACACGACCAAGCATGATGCCTAAGGAAACTAGTCATTGGGACCCCCCCTAATGGCTAGTTTTTGCTTTTTTTGAGTTTTTTTTTTAGAAATACTCCCCAATAGCTATAAACAGCTATATGGAGGTATTTATGTATTTTGGCTTTAGGGGAGGGGAGAAAAAATAATAATAATGCCCCCCCCCCAACAGCTATATAACAACTAGTTTGGGGGCATTTGGGTAAAATGATAAATGGCTTTATAATAACTAAAATACCCCTCTCAACAACTATAAAACAACTAGTTTTTAGGGCATTTTGGGTAATTGAATTATTTTCAATTCCTATAAATACCCCTATCCTCCACCATTCTCATCACACCAATTCTCATACTCTTTCTTTACTCTCTAATTGTCAACTTTGTTCAAGTTTCAACAAGAAAAAGGCTTGCTCAAATATCTCAAATTGGCAATTTGGGAAGCTTGGAGGCTTCAACCACTGAAATCATGTTGAGATCCTGAACCGGCAATTCAAGTAAGTGCAATTAACTTAATGTTTATTATTTTATAATTAAAAAAGACCAACTCCTCCTCTAGCCACTTGGACAGACATTTTCTCTCCCATGAGAAACAAGAAGAAGAAAAAGGGAAAACATTACAAATACAAATTGGGTGTGGGGTTTTTGGTACTTTTAAATATTCTCAAGAAAAAAATTAGGGAAGAATTAGTAAAATAAATTGCACATGCTAAACAACCATTTTTATTAGTTGAAAATATTAAACTTGAAAGGTTTTTATGATATTCTACAAATCCACAATTTAAAAGAGTTTCTTGAAATACTATTAGATCAGATGCTTTAAAATTTTTTTATTCATATAAACAAAATTTACTTTATGTTTTATCAAATCTTAATTCTAGAGTTGCAATTACTTTTGATATTTTGCCATCTAAATATAATATAAGTTATATTTGTGTTCCTGGACATTTTATTAATGAAAATTGACTTTTACATAAAATAATTTTAAATTTTATTAGGATTGGATGACCGCATACTAGCCCAACAATTACTACAAATATTTTAAATGCTTTACAAAATTATGGAATTGAAATAAACTTTTCTCTATTTGTTTTGATAATGCTAGTATTAATGATTCAACAATAAATATTTTAAAATCTCAACTAAAACCATGTTTTAATGGTAAATTATTTCATATTAGATGTGCAAGTCACATCTTAAATTTGTGTTCAGTATGCTTTTAATATTATTTCTCCTCATATTTCTAAAATTAGAAATTGCATTTTGTATATTAGAAGTTCTAGAACAAGAAAACAAGAATTTAAATATTTACTAGCGGGGACCCGTGCGATGCATGGGATTTATTAAGCAAAAGCTAAATTATAGAAAAGGTCATTTACTAAAATACCCCTAATAGTTTCATGGATTTACTAAAATCTACCCTATAGCTAAAGTTTTACTAAAACACCACTTATAATTTGCAATGTATTTAATCAATCTTCTATTAGATGATAGTGGAAAATGATAGTGTTGACCCTAATGTTCATTTAAATAAATTTAATTAAAATAAAATAAAAATAAAAATATCATTTTTACCCATTATAAGACACAGGCAACCACTCT